CCCCCTGGCCACCACGGCGTGCAGGAGCTTTGCGCTCAAGCCGATGGAGATGCCAAAGTGTGAGAGTGCCCTGCGGACCCCTTCTGCCGAAGGAGCCCTGTTCCAAATGGCTGCCCGTGTCTCTAAGTGGTTTTTTCAGCACACTAAAAAACCCACGCTGGGCTTTGGTTTTGAAATGTGGTGGYGGTGTTCACTTTTAAACAGGGAGGAGCAGGTTTTCCTCTTGGTTAAGTTTAGCAGAAAGAATTAAAATGCACCTGCATCCCCAACTGTCTTGAGGGTACGTGGGGAAAAAGGATGTGGGGCAGAGGCAGGAGAAGCCCTGGCAGCACAGCCAATGCAGAATTACAGAGAGGTTAAAGAGACAGAGATCTGCTGAAACGCTACTGACACCTTGCCCAAAAGGTTTAGTGAGGTCATGGGAYTTTCGGTGTTTTGCTTTTGTGCTGGCGATAGCAGTGTTATGATTAAGTCAGTATCACCCATCACTAGAGAGCACAGTGCACTGCAAAAGAGCTTTAAAGAACCAAACACCCTATTGCTCCACACTTTATTGTCATGTCAAACAGGAGACTTTACCGGTTCATGTTTGAGAGTGAACTTTGCCCACTATTTATAGTATGATTTCATCTCTCTGAGTGAAGGCAAACACCAGGAGAAGCAGAACAGCAGCTTAGACACAACACTCCACCTGGAGCTGGGATGTCCTTAAGCCCTCCACGGCTAAGTTTTTAAATGTAAAAAAGTGTGTGTGTGAGTGCGTGCATGTGTCCTATGCAAACCACTTCTCTCAGCACTGTGYGGTATAACCCCCTTTGTCTCTGTGCTCTGTACAAGAGGTTTACTTATCTGTAAAATGAACATGACAAAGCTTATCTTCCAACTCATGCCAAGGATTGTGCTGTGTTTACATTTGCACATGCTAGATGAAAATTGCCCCGAAGGTACAATATAACAAAAGGGAAATCAACCTCTGTACTATCAATTCTTGCCATGACTTTTCTTCTATTTACCCATTCTTTCAATTTTTGTATTTACTTTGCTTCAAGTCAGTAATAGTTCCCCTCCCGAAACCAGGCTGAGTTTTGCACGTACAGGTAACCTTGCRAGTTGCCTCAAGCTTAAAATAAAGTACCCAAATGTCATCATAGGAGTCATTTCTGTCACAAAGATAGCACACCCRTGTTGCCACAGCATTTCCTGATACAATGATAGTAAGCTCAGCATCACTGAGCTGCTCTCAAATTAACCCCCACTTCCCTTGTTTTAACAATAATGTTACAAAGTGGAGATGCCTCAGTATTGAAAACTACAGCTTCTATTATTAGCTGTGATGTAATACTGTCAATGTAAATTTCAGAGACAACAAAAATCCAGCTTTTTATACTATGAAACTGTAACATCTATCAAGGCGTATTGAATTAAGTTAAAAGACTCTTATATAAAAAAAAAAGAAAAACAAAAAACCCAAACCAACTGTTTCAGTCCCTTAATKAAATAATATATTTAAAAAGTGGTTTTCTTTTCAGCTTTCCTCTGAAGTATGATGGATGCAGGGACAAAAAAGGACTGATAACAAAAAGAAGATTCAGGTTCACTTTTCTTGCTATCAGCTGCCACAGCAGACGTACCTTCTTGATCGAAAGAAGGCTATGAAGGCTGCTCTCTTCTGCTGCCAGAGGTATTGTTGTACTAGGAAATTTCCACTGCACGTGGCCATGCACGTGACACTGCATTTTGCAGCTGCTTTCATAGCTAAACTAGGGAATATTTAATAGCTCCAGTAATATTMATTATTAAATTTAACTCTTTCCTTGYAGYCRCATCCTTGAAACAGCCTATTCCCAYAGCATGATCTGGCAAATCATAAAGAATATTTATTCTATTCAAATTATTTGGGAAATTAAGGCTCTTAGGAAATATAGATCTGATATAGTATCAGAGTTAATTGCCCTACTCCAACACACTACAAGGTGTTTATTTCATTGTGTCTTAGTGTATCTATTTTTACTGAGTAATTTGTCWTACAGAGACAAATCAAGTATTACATAGAATTTATCTTACAAAGTTTCCCTCWAAGATTCGTCAGGTTTCTGGTGTCCACTATGTAATACCTTATTGTTTTGTACTGAGCCTGTCACAAAATGATCTTAATATATGGCAGGTGTCTTAACACCTCTTTTTGGAAAGAATTTTGCATGTGTAAGTCTGGCTTCTCTGCACAGGAGTTAACGCTGTAACTTCTTACGTACTATTTTTCTTACCCAGCTTTCACTATGAATTATAGTTGTTGACCATGTTGTTGTCATCGGCACAGGTTGCCCAGAGCTGTGCCTCTCTCATCCTTAGAAGTATCCACGGCCAGGCTGGACAGAGCTTGGAGCAACCTGGAACAGTGGCAGGTGTCCCTGCCCATGGCAAAGGGTGGGACTGAATGGGCTTTAAGGTCCCCTCCAACCCAAACCAGTTTGGGATTCTGTGATTAAATTTTTGGGTGAAAATGTGCATGCTTCCTTTGAACTGAATAAAAGCAGCTATTCCTACAGCTGTATGGCCATGAACATTTTAACACCTGACGAGCTCAAACCCGGACTTGAGCTTTGGCATCTGAGTGTCCCTCGGGGTTTTACACTCTAAGAACATCCAGGAAGGTTTTGTCACGCGATGGCCTTCCACAAACCCCCATTTACTCACGAACTGAAGTTTGTTAGGAACTTGTTTCCTGAAATGGGGCATGCCCAGGCCGCAGAGGCGCAAGATCAAAACGTCTCCAGATAGCAGGGACAAGGCTGAGGTGGTGGGCGGGTTTCGGGGGCTTTCCCGTCAGAACTGCAGCACATTCCTGTCCCTCCGAAGAGCACCGCCCCGGGCCCCGCCAGGCTCCCCGGCCACACCCGCGGCCCGCCCAGCAGACAACATGGCCGGCGGCGGCCCCTCAGCCCCGCCCCGGGGCGGTGACCGGAACGGGCGGGGCCATGGCGGCGGCGGGCGGGGACGGCCGGGCCTGAGGGGAGCGGCGGCTGYGCTCCCGCCGGCAGGTGAGCGCAGGGCGCGGGGCGGGTGGTGGGTGGCCGTAATCCTCCCGACACCCCCTCTATACACCCATGGCCCCTCTACACATATCCCCAATCCCATCCCCTTCCTGCACACCCATAGCTATCCCACATACACATCCCCCATATACACCCTCCTGACATAAAACACCACACACACACACATGCACACTCCATAGACACTCCATACACACTCCACACACACCCCATACACACCCCATACACACATACACACGCTCCCCCACTCCTTCCCTCCCCCACACACAACCCCTACACTCACATACACATCCTTCCACCTCTTCCAACGCCCCCCATCCCAAGCACACACAGCCATGTGTCCGTTTCAGTCTTAAGCTTTTTTTCCACCCCTAACACTTTGGGAATCTTGCTGCAGGCCCTCCCGGCCTCCTCCTATGGCGCACGTACGTCAGCCGAACTGGATTTTCTAGTAGTAAATTTAATGATGTATTAATAATAAGGCACTGTTACATTTTGTACTGTTAGARGGAAATAGAGCTCGTTGGGTCAGGTGCTGTAGGCATGGCTTCAGGTGTGTTTTGCGGTGTGAAAAGTCTGCATGAGCACCACTGGCATCTTGTAGTGGCRGTGATGCCAGCCAGGCTGGTTTGGATCTTAGTTCATGATTTTTTGCCAGTGCAAGTGGCCTCCCCTTGGGTTAGGCTGCTGCCAGGCTTCGTTGCATTTCCTTGCTGCTCCTGAGAGCAGTCTGAGCTTGAAAGGCAGTGTTTGGGAGAAGTGGCAGGCCTGCTATGCTTCTGTCACATACGTACTGTCTCTTGAGTAGGAGCTCTGGTGTTCTGTGAAGGGTCTGACTTACTGCAAATATGCGGGCTAGGGCTGTGTTATGCAGCTATTCTTTGATGTTTCCTGAAGCTAGGATCTCAGCTGACCAGAAGAGAAGTTTGAATGTATAGTTATCTTGTGCAGTCTCACCAGGTTATCTAGAATACCTATTTGCGGATTAGAGGATTCCGGTAGAAAATTATATTGTAGAAAATTATATTATAAGAAAATGATTTCTTATACTGAAAATAAGAAAGATTTTGTTACAACTTAGTGTTTGTGGGTTTCAGTAATCAATTTATACAAAATTGGGAGATTTTGTTTACAGGCCACTTAAACATCATTTGAGATGATCAAAATGTCTGGAGAAACCAAGGAGGAATTTTCAGTCTGCTCTTGTATTGCTATCCTTTTAAYCTGTCTGTAGCAGGAGGGATCTGTAAGGCCTCAAGTTCCCAAAACARGAAAAGAAATACACTCTTGTAATTTTTCTTTTGATTTCTGGTAGAACCTATTTTCAGTGTTYAGCTTTTGTTTAGTTTTAACTCATCTTCATGTGTGTGATTTAATCAAGGAGTCAGGTACCAGAGAARTGGGTACAGTGTTGGGGCTGAATTTTGGTGAACCTCATGGGGTAGCTTGGAGATGTAAAGAACCTTGTTTTAAAGCCTTTTGAAAAGTTTATGTTTTGGTTGATTAATACTAATACTAATACTGTAGCCTTTAAAATATTTCCTGTTGAAGGGACAGTTGRATTGCAAACAGACTAATCCCTGACCTTTTAAACCACAACAAGGTGGTGTGTGGTATTAGTGAGTCATTGGTGAATCATACAAACTCCAATACAAATAAATTAATTGTTTTATTTACTCTTTTTCTGGTAATATCTGGAAGGCCCAGAGAAAGGTCATGACCTTGTGGAACTGGGTGTTGTATTAAAGCACACACATGCAGGCAGACTCTGAGCCTTCATATACTCTTTTCTATCTGTCTATTTAAGCTTGATTYCAGATTGGCTTACCAACATGAATGRAAATAAGTGTGTCTTAAACTTTTTTAAAATGAAGTGTAATAGTAAACGTTTCTGCCTTGCGGGATTTGGCAAGAAAGAAACKATAGGGGCCTGAGCTTGGTGACAGATGTACATCTCCATATCTAGTCTTGGAAAATGAAAACCCTTTGAATTCCAGTCCCATATGTTAATAAGAGAAACTGCATTAACTACATTCATTAATTACAGCACTACATTTAGTAAAGGTGATTTTATGTTTTCATTAACTTTTCCATGGAAAATTGTATKTAGAAGGGGCAGCAGATGGTGTTACATGTGTATGTGATAAAYGAGCTCTCTTCTACTCCTTTTGTGGTGAGTTCTGTTCTTGGGAGAGTAATATGAGTAGTAATTTCAAATGTAGGGAAAATAATAACGTTAATAAAAATATAGGGGGAATCCCCCCCATTAGGTCAGTCAGGTTGTGAGATGGGATGCGCGGAGAAGCTGTGCTATCTCCATCTTTGGGGCTTTTCAAAACATAGATGGATAAAGCTCTGAGCGAATTGACCAAATCTCATAACCAACCCTGCTGGACTTGCTGAGGTTCSTTCCAGCTGAAATGGTTGAGTAACCCTAAAAAAAGGCTGACCTGRGCAAGTGAGACATCTAATGTAGAAAGTGACATCTGGTGTCAGGARCTGAAGTGCAGTTTGTAAGCACTCTTCTAACAACCTGAGGTTTGGGGAAATCCTCCTGTAAGGGTTTGATGATATCAGTTGCAAGGTCAGTAAGCTTACTGTAGTTCCCTTCCTTGGGTTACTGCAAATCTTGATTCTTGATAGAGAGCTCTTGGAATCATGTTTCGTTTTTTTTTTTTTTTTCTACAGTCTCCAAGAGATCCATATGAACATTCCTACTTCAAAAYAAAGCAAAAAGTTGTGTTCCTAAGTTAAAAACCATGAAATGTCCATGCTCCATGCTTGGTTTTTAAAGATTACCCAGTATACAATAGGCGTTTTTGTCAGTTTATTTAAGGGAAGACATTTGTTGTGTGCCTATTTATAAAGGGTGGGTTGGCTGGGGTGTGTGAAAAGTCACTGTAACCAGTGTCCTTGTGTGCAGTTGTCCAGCTAAGAATTGCAGGGTTTCAGTGTGTGTTTAGATGTTATTTCCCTTGATTTTTAAATTAATATACTTATGTGAAAGTATTTTTATGTGCCACTTTTCTTCTGCTTTACCTTTCCTGTATCTCCCTTGTTTTCAACTTCACATCTTTAAATTTTCCTTTATTGATWGGTTGATTCTGCTTTAGGATAATGGCAGGAAAAGTAAAGTGGGTAACTGACATAGAAAAATCTGTTCTAATAAACAACTTTGAAAAAAGAGGATGGATTCAGGTGGCAGAAAATGAAGACTGGAATTTTTATTGGTAAGTACACTACAATTACCAATTTATTTTATCAATATTATGGAGGCTTGTCCTCTTACCAGAGTCCAGACTTCTGTAATGAACATACTTTGCTTCTCTTCCATGATAATGATTTATATTCAGGGTAATTATTCAACATTTCAATACTGAATGTGAAATTAGATTAAGATTGTGGTGAAAGGAGAAGGGTAAATAATCTAGCATCTTTGGTATTTGTCTTACATAAGGCCATGAAATGCTGTCCTAGAATGCAGTAATCTATTCACTGGCAGAAACAGTACTCTTTAAATAAATCAAACAATTAGTGATGTTCCTTTCAAATACAACGGAATGGCAGTTTGTGCTGCCAAATGTATCCTTTGTGAAACACTTATTTAAATGGGCAGGAATCTGGTAATCTGCTCATATGCTTGGAATGCAGTTGGGAGAGTGGGGAAACACTCATGGAAATTGCTGTGTGACTGCTTGTATTGTTTTGGGTTTGTTGCTTTTTTTTTTTCTTCCTGAAATGATAATGTAGCAGACTGCTGGCACTCAGGAAATTTCTTAAGTTTTTACAATGAGACATGTAATACAGAAAATTCTTTACATTTATGTCCCTTCTCTTATCTTCTGTGAAAAATGTTGATAACTGATTTGATGACTCTGTCACTGCAGGACTTTCATCTGTTATATAACTAAACATCACAGGTGTTTTTAGCAAGATCTCTTAACTAGTTTTCAGGTCAGGTCATGTTTGAATTCCATTATAATCCAAATTGCAAGGTAGCAGTAGGAGGTTGGGTTTGTGGCTTTTTTGAAGAGGAAAGTGAGTTTCTAGAGTGTGGAGTAACAGATTTAGAAAGATGATTCTGTAGCTTTTGGGTGGACTTCAGTAATTTTTAGGCCCTGCTGGGTATTGACCTGACTATCAACAGCCAGAGTCCAGTAGGACCAATTTGTCCTCTTCCTGTCCTCACTTCCTGCACCAATTTCAGTAGTAGTAGAGGGACTGATCAAATCTTCAGGAGGATTTCATTTGCTTTGTTAATAGAAGTTCAGGATATGTTGGATTGTCACTGCAGCAAAATATTAAATATAAAGAGAAATGAGAGAGAGAAAAGATGAAGAAATTGGAGTGGAAAGATTTCTAATTTGTCCTTCTGAAGTGTGTTTCTTGAGAGAAATTGTTTGGTGTCTGTCTTTGGTTTCAGGATGAGTGTCCAAACAATCAGAAATGTTTTCAGTGTGGAAACTGGTTACCGCCTCTCTGATGACCAGATTGTCAATCACTTCCCAAACCACTATGAACTGACCAGAAAAGATTTGATGGTAAAGAATATCAAGCGATACAGAAAAGAACTTGAGAAAGAAGGAAGTCCTCTTGCAGAAAAGGATGAAAATGGAAAATATATTTATTTGGGTATGTTGCTCTTACTCTGAGCATACACCTTTTTTCCTTAGGTGGTCAATAACCTGGAATTGAACCAACTTTTTTGTGCATGAAATACTGTACCTCTGGAGTGTTATGACATTGAAGTGGCTGCCGTGAAATGCTCTGTTCCACTGTTGTGTTTGATTCATTTGGGGTTTCTTAAAAATTACTTTGTGGGTTTAAGCTAGTTTGCAATTAGTGTTGAAACCAAAGGGCTGTGGTATTTTGGATGAGAGAGGGTTGCACTTTTTTTTTAAATTCAGATATGAATTTTTCAGATGTGAAAAACCAATATCTGAAAATCTTGCACTGGATCAAAAACTAAAATAAAGTTTTGCAGATAGCCTCGGGACAGGACTGAATGAACAAACACTTCAGAGGAGAAATTTGTGGGAAAATGAAAAAAAACCCCAACAAAACAAACAACCAACCTGCAAAACTAAACCAAGAATATATCAGGAATGAGGAAAGTAGAAATGGGGTGGGGGTCAGAAAGCATCGAAGTGAAACAAAATGGGCTTATGTGGAGTTGAATTATACCTTGGAAAACTGCAATGAAAACACTTCATCTGTGTAAGAAAGCAGTTCTGTAAGGATGGAAGGGAAGATAATCTAATAGCAAAAAGCAAAAAAAGCTYTTTTTTAGCTTTCAGTAGTTGTAGAAATACTTAGTGTAGGAGTAAAGAATAATAAGAGTTCGAAATAAGAATAATGGAAGTTCCCTGGAAATAAAAATAACACATCCAAAGGGGAATTTTGCCTGCACAGAGTATAAGGACTGGTGAAAGCTGACAAGGAAATTGAGAAAAATTGTGATTGTTAAGTTGGAGTGGTATGCAATACTCTAATTTCACTGCATATAAATGGAAAAAGAAAATCTATTCACATTAATTAGAATCTATTAATCTGAAGTTAGTATCATGCAACATTTTGCAATTGTTTAAGTGAAAAACAGAATTCAAATGAGAAAAAAAGCAACATCAGTCTTAATGAAGGTAGATCATGCCAGACTGGAAAACTGAAAATACAGAACTTATTTTTTTGGTTTGTATGTGTCAATGTTTATCAGATACAGTGTCTTTAATTGTGGACCTTTTCTTTTTCCCCCTTAACTCAGATTTTGTTCCTGTGACTTTTATGCTTCCTGCCGATTATAATCTCTTTGTTGAAGAATTCAGAAAGAATCCCTCCAGCACTTGGATTATGAAACCTTGTGGCAAAGCTCAAGGAAAAGGAATATTTTTAATCAATAAACTCTCCCAAATTAAGAAATGGTCTCGAGACAGCAAAACATCTTCGTAAGTTCTTAAAACCTAACCCTTTATTGTACGTTCTGCAATTASGTGAACTACATCAATATGCTAATTGTCTGATGCATTGGAAAAATATACCATTATTATTTATCATGTTATAGTTAGGTTTGCATTATCTGGCTTCCTTCTTCAGTAGGTTATAATATGACTTTTTTTGGTGTGAAGAGGTACACAGAACTGTTCAATTATTATTCTTTATAAAAATGCTCTCAGTGTTGYTGGGGAAAAACTTGCACAGAAACAAATTGTTCTGCTTCACAGYATTAAATAACAGGAAAAATCTTCCCCTCAGTATTTTCAGTAATTGTTTAATATATATTAAATTACTTTTTAAATTAGTGGAAAGGAAGAATACATTTATATGAAATAAATGCATTTTCCTTTTGGACCACAAAATATTGCATGTGATATGGATGATCTTCTTCTGAATGAATGAAACAGATTAGCAGTCTGTTTTTCTCTGAGTAGAAGTTTTGATCACACAACTAATGTTGAGTTTTTCCCTGTGATTAAGTGACTGGCTGAATATCACTTGAGTATTTTTCCCCCATTTGACTTGGAAGCTAAAGMATGTCACAATCTGAAAGTTACATTAACTTTTCACAGTGGTTTGCAATTGCACACCAAGCACAAATGCAAATATTCCACTAGTACAAGACCTTGAATAATGAAGGTAATGCACTACATACTTTTTTTTTTGCTTGTCTGAACCTTGTCAAGCTCTAAATCCTCTTCAAGGAAAAAAGGTTGGCTTGTAGAGCTGCATTCTGAATGGCCTGCTAATCTACTGTGTGAGTTCAAATGGTTAATTCGTCTTTGTCATCTATACAGTATTTTCAACTTTTTTTTTGGTATTAATGCCTGATGCCAAGCATGTATTATTAACCACCACAACTTTATACTTTGTCTAAGAGATGTAAGATTTCAATCAATTCAAAATTTACAGAACACTTCTAAAGAAGAAAAAGACCTCAGAGATTGCATTTGTCATATTGCGAGACATGATTTKTGTTTTTCAGGTTTGTGTCTCAGTCTTCCAAAGAAGCCTATGTGATTTCACTCTACATCAACAATCCCTTACTGATTGGTGGAAAGAAATTTGATCTACGTCTGTATGTTTTGGTGTCTACCTATCGTCCACTGAGATGTTACATGTAAGATTGCATGTATTTGTATTTTGTTTTGAGGGAATGTCTGATGTAGTCAAAATAATGTTATGCATGTTGCACAAACTCTAACCTGTACATCCTAGGATTCCCTCTTTTTTATAGGGATTTAACTCATTTTAATTCTGGGTTTTTTTGCATTTAAGGTATAAACTTGGATTTTGCCGGTTTTGCACAGTCAAATATACACCAAGTACAAGTGAATTGGATAACATGTTTGTGCATCTTACAAATGTTGCAATTCAGAAACATGGGGTAAGCATACTGACCTCTTAGATGCTCTTTTGTAGCAATTTTCTTAAATTGTCTCAAAAACTCGTAATAAAAAGGTTTTGTCATATTTTTCATCATCTCGCAATTAAAATAACTTCAACTTACACTTACAARTAAATAAATTTTAGAATTTAGAAATTTTAGAAAACCACAGATCAAAAGTGGCAAGGTTATGAGCTGCCACTAGTAGAGTGTGATATCTTCAGTATTGACTCACAGTAGCTGAGAGCAGCGGGATTCTTCAACACTCATCAACACTCATTTGAAAGAGGGTTTTGAAATAATGAGTTTGAAAGCTTATTTCCCCAATAAGCTCACTTAGGAATTGAGCAGTTAAATTAATGAGCTTGGATCATGTGGATATGTACTTTGTAATAGTAGCTTAATATATCCTTCCTCATCTCCCCTTCCGTCTCTTTTTTCTGACATGCAGTTAATTCAATTTCTTTTTTCCAGCCTGTTATTCATCACAGGACTTCCCAACTTCTTCCAATGTTCCCCCAACCTCCTGCCCCTGCCTTCCTGCTGTGGAAAAGAAAGGGARTGTGCAGTTGCAAACTTGAGATAAATAAGTGCTGCCTGGCCATCTGGTGGCTTCCTCTTGCATGGACAAAAATGGAACTCTGCCTGCAGAACAGTTCTGTCCTGTAATTTGCCAGTGATACTCATGTGGAAATATGAGTGACAGCACTTCCTTATGTCAAAGTAGGCTGAAATTCAGCAGTGGGGAGAGAAGGTTAGTGGGGCAGGGGTGACAGGGACAGGTGAGCCTAAGMTGTCACTGCCCAAGCCTTGTTCCTTCAGGAAAGGCACTTGAAAATGACTGTCCCTTTGGTGTTTTTAACAGATGTCTCTGAYCTACAAATCATGCCTCTGGTACAGTGATTAAAATTCTATTGTTGCATTTCCTAATGCCATAAATTGCACTTCCTAATGCCATTTTATCTTAATGGTATGGAAAATAAATATATATGGACATACACACTGATTGTATTCATATGAATATACACCTCCACTCCATATATATATATGCAATATATCTTAAACTGCAGCCTTGCTTAATGTGCCTTCCCTGCTACTGTTCCATAACATGTGCAGCATAGCAGAACTGCTTTATCTGCATATTGCTGTAACAAGAATGTGAATGATAATGTTAGTAGTTATGAACCAGGGTAAGTGTTCAAATATGGCATTTTTCTCTGCTACAAACGTTTGATTGCTCAAGTGCTGATATGTGAAGTGCTCTACACACATTATGACACAGCACTGAGAATTACCTATGGTKAAAGCAGGTCACATACAATGTAGAGAAAAAATCCTGGTGCTGTTGCCAGAACAAGTGAAGATGTGAGGCACACGGTACCCTGCCTGTCTTGTTATCATGCACGTCTTCTCTACCAGTTAAAGAACAGCCTTCAAGATTTTTCCCAAATAAAAGAAGTGAATGTGGTTGTGAGGTCACTTAGAATAAAGGACAACAGAAATGGATACAGCAGTAACAGCCTAAAAATGTGGAATTATTACTAGAATATTTGAAATGCTTTTTATAAATTGTAAACCACTGATACCTGTTCAGTTTTGCAGAAAGGCATAAGGGAAGTTAATGTAAAGCTATTCTATCCATCCTATTTGTTGTTCTGTTTTAAATATGCCTGTAAATTTGGAGGCATTTAGGCTGTACAGTTTTAGTCTTCTAAAASTGTACCAAATTTGAGCTATCAATAATTTATACAAATTATGATGACGTGTTGGAAAATACTGTTCTAAGCCATTATTCACTGCATGTATAACACAAACAAAACAATTGTCCAAGTACTCGTTTTTTTCTTTTAAGAAAGATTAATTACTTGATTTGCACTGTGTGATACAAGCATATTACAGCTATAATAAAAGCAGTTGTCTATGTAGAGGCCAGTTAAAAGCTGAAGTCTTCATAAAACTGCAAGAAAAATTAGCCAGGTTTGTTTTTAGAGCAATACTAAGAATAAGGGGACTTTTTGTGGGAATGAAAAAAAACCTGCTGAACAACTTCAAAATCTTAGACTGAGTGAACTCTTTTAACTCTTCAGGATGATTACAACCATATCCATGGRGGCAAGTGGACAGTGAGTAACTTACGCCTCTATCTGGAGAGCACCCGTGGAAAGGAAGTCACCAACAAATTATTTGATGAAATCCACTGGATAATTGTTCAGTCCCTGAAGGCTGTTGCRGTGAGTACTGTTCCTGGAATACTGCCAGTGATAGCATTCCAGCTGCAGGCTTCCCATARCCATGGAAGTGAGCTTGCCATTAACACCCCTACATCAGTTTTGGTGTTGATGCTGATTTCTGTAGTTCTGTTATCTCTTTATTTCTTTGAGATGACRGAACTGAATCTTGGGTGGGTGAGTGGGTTGAGCTATCTGTGGATATTTGAAGGAGTGAATAAATCTCTTTCCTTGAGGACTTTGTGAACTATTTAATATGACTTGATACTGTCCTTTTGAATAGTATTAAGTTCTGCCAAATTGCGTGATGTCATTCCAGCAATAACCAATGTGTCAAAGAAAAAAAAAATCTCTGGAGGACAATTTATCAAAGGAAACCTGAAGCTATTAGTTCATCAGAGTTACATAATGTACTTTCACCTCTTTTATACACAAGTCACAGAGTTATCATGAATTCTTGTTTATTAAAAGAAAAGCAGCAGCCAGTCCTCTGCTTGAGTGACTTTTTAGTTTTTGGGTAATATGCCATGAACCCATCACAGGGCAGGCAGGTATCACTTTGTGGGKCAGCTGGGGTAACTGAAGAGCTCACTGTTGCCAAGGACTCTCCTGGTCCCAAGTACATCGTCTTGTCATCTCTTCTGGGCTGGTCCTGGCACCGTTTAGAGCTGAATCAGCTCACTTGTGAACTGACAATTAGTACCTTGCTTTATTGATGCCTTAGTGTTCTGCCAAGGGAATAAGCTGAGTCATTGAAGGACCAGATGAACACCAGAATCAGCACAAGGAAAGAGGGACAAGGTCRTGCTATGATCAGGGGGAGATGGGGAAGCATGGCTTAACCCAGCCTCTGCTGTGCAATCATATGTGAAAATGGCTGGGAGAAGAAAAGGGGCATWATCAAATGTTAGCAGAACCTTAGAAGAGGAAAGGTGTTGAGAATGACTGAGCATGGAATTTGTTGTTTCTCTGTCTGATAATGGCACATATAATGAGATTCCTGTTCCTCCTTCCCCCTTTCAGTCCCTGCAGAAATGAAAAGCTTTTTTTTGTTAATCCAGGGGAAAACATCTYACAAACCTGTTACAAAGTTTCCTCYAAAAGATCTAATGAGATTCAGGTAGAAGAAAAATGTTCCCATGCCCAGGCATACTTGCAAATGTGTAACAGATGCTGGAAAGCTACTACTCTAGAGAATGTGTATCTAAGAGCAACTTGATCCTTGGTCTCTCTCGACTTCAGGGTTGCAATTTTAAAATGTATCTTGTAATTATTTGAACTAAGATTTCTGCATAGTTACAGTGGCAATAAAAAAAGAAATGTCTTTGAATAAGTTTTGTTTTTCTAAAGTTTAAACAATTCATAATTATGTGAAGTTGTAATTTTTCAAACTTTCTGTTTTCTCCTGATCTGTGTAGGTTTAAATATTGTTATTACATTTGCAAAGTATGAAAACACTTATTTTCACAGAGGAAACATAACAGGAAATTAACATAACTTGGCATCATTGCAATTATAAGTCCTGAAATATTTACATACAGCTTGGGAAAAAATAGATAATCCTGAATCTGCAAGAAAGCACCTTATATTTGAGTTGCAACACTGAAAAGTATTGTAGAAGATTCATAATGTCACATATGATTTCTGACAAAGAAAGTGTGTCATTGGGTTATTCACTGAATAGTTGATTTTAATACATATTACTGTCTCTTTTTTTCCCCAGCCTGTAATGAATAATGATAAACACTGCTTTGAGTGTTATGGATATGACATTATCATTGATGACAAGCTTAAACCCTGGCTAATTGAGGTAAAGTTATATAAAACACAGAAAAAAACTTCCTTCTCATTTTCCAGAGTRAAATGAAGTAGATTTCAATGCAGTCTTTCCTCTTTTTAAACARTATTTTTTGTTTATAGGATAAGTGGGTTAAGAAAAACGTTGAAAAGAGAGGTCCAAGCTAGCACATGTTTGTGATGACCAAGCTAGCATGTGCTTTTCTTTCCTATTTGTTTGCTGTTTCTATTTGTTTGTGRCTTTCTGCTTTGTCTTCTAAATCCAGTGCATCCATAGAATTGCACTTCAGAGGCAGTCTGAATGTTAGCAACCCTGTTAAACACTGTATCAGTAGCTGGAAAATAGGCATAACATTGATGCTCCATAGCATTATTATGCTCCATAACTTGATGGAGCATAACATCAAATTTAAGTTTAAATGCTGTCATGGCCTTAGTGTTATAGKTTGAGAGGAAACAAAAAAAGGGAACTCAAAGGATAATTGGGGTATTTGGAAGGYTTTTTTTATTTTTTACATAAATTCTCTTTAGTGTATTAACTTTAGATCTGTATGTTCACTATAAATTTTATCCATCCCTCTTCCTTCTCCATCTAATTAGAAGTGAACTTCATAAATAAAAATCTGTTTGTTGTTCTGATACCACTTCTCCAAAATAAATGTGGAACAAAGATATGTTAAGTGAATCCCATGTTTAATTTAAACAAGGTACAATGTAGTGCTTTGAATAGAGAGCACTCTTCAGCTCACAGTTTAACAGGGGAGAACTCAGATAAGAATTTAWATGAAAGTTGTTTACCTAGAAGAGCACCACACATTTCTGTGTATAATAGCTGTTCATGTAAACTGGGCAAATTTTAAGCGCTCAAATGTATGGGGTTTGTAACTATGTAAATGGAAAATTAAACAAAAATTCTGCCTTGTCTGATTCACCCTGGTGAATCTCATCTCAACAAAAATCTTCAGCCTGACACTGCAGACGCTTAACAGTGTGTCTAAACTGGTACTTTCCTGTCTAAGTACAAAGAAAAATGCCCAGTGGGGAATTCCTTCCAGTGCCTGAGGAACTGAAAGATGAGCTTTGAGACACCAAGTGTCAATGTCCCCATACACACAGTCATCACACATACTCTATGGARAACTGTACACCACTCCAAAACCTGATGCTGTTTTTCTCTTTTTGTAGGTTAATGCTTCCCCCTCTCTTACTTCCAGCACTGCTAATGATCGTATCTTGAAGTATAATCTTATTAATGACACRCTCAATATTGCTGTTCCTAATGGGGAAATCCCTGACTGCAAATGGAATAAATCTCCACCRAAAGAGGTTCTAGGCAATTATGAAGTCTTGTAAGTATTTTCTGTGTTTTAGAGAAAGGCAACTGTTTTTCTGTCACGTCACTTTTTTTGAAGTGTAGACCAAAGAGATTTTTCACATCACATTTTTCTGATGTGAGAAATGGACACAAAGTGCCACTTCATTTCTTTGGAGCTGCAATAGCAACACTGGAGGTGGGAGTTCATTAAAGCAGAATTCCCTTGACTCGTATCCAGAGAGAATGTTTGGTAAGTCCCTATTTGCACCTTCTGCRCTTGCTGCAGCTAGAATTGAGGGACAGAGGCAAAAAGAATGTTTATCTTCTACATGTGCAACACTTCAATTGCATTTAGGGTAATATACAGATGGTACTTAAACCATTAAAATAGTTAAATCTGATTTAAACGTTATTTGATACAGACTTTCTGTTCATAGAAATAATGCCTCTTGAGTCCTGTAATTAATGAATGTAATAATAAATAAATAATAAAGTTGTCAGATATTTTTAAAATTCTTTTATCTGTATTATAAGTGAAGGAAACTGAGATTTTTATATTGGAGTGTCTGCAAGATTTATCTAGGTTTGATTGGTCTTGTGCAGAAGAACACTGATTTTAATACCTTATTAAATACAGTTTCTCAAAGTTTTTGAGAAAATTTTTGGATAGGTTCTCTAGCACTAGTGGAGCAATTCTCAGTGCGTCAGAATGCACTTCATGTACATAGCTGATCCACTAGTTCATACTGATTTGAAATACACTTTCTAGATACTAATAAAGGCAGTTAAATATGAGTGGTGTGAGTTAGGATTTAAGTTTTAAAGAATATTATATACATGGTAGCAGTGAATATCTATAAAACAGTATTAGTAAGTATGTATTATGAACGTTCTACAAAATATTATAGTATTATGTTTTGTTAATTACAATTGCCTGTCTACAGCCAAATTCTGCTAGAAATTTGTATAGCAGCTGAAAGGTCAGTATAAACTGAGGTTATGTAATGCTATAATGGATTTAGATATTTACAGAACTACTYATCACTGTGGTTAAGTGTTACCAAATACATGTCATCAAACACATTTTATTTGATCACATGGCTGTTTAGTTCACCTTATTCTTTCCCTTCTCACTCTCTGATGCAACAGTGGAGTTTTAACACTGCAGCCAACAATCCTCTCTTTGAAGCAATAGGTCAGGAGTTATTTAAACTGGCAGCAGACTGGTGTTCTGCTTAACCACCGACCTGAAGAAGTACAGGGGAAGTTTCACAAGCATGAAATTTCACAAACTCAGGAGTTTAACTAAAGCTGCCAGATGACTTGTTTCTTTCAAACAGTGGCTGAAAATATTTCAAATTATCTGTATTGTAAAATCACATGGTGGCATATTTCACAGAATCAGAGCTGCATGTCATACTATGCATGCATAAAGCTGTATGTGGAACAGCTTTTRTTAAACTCCAGTTCTAGAAAGTAAGCAAAATAGAATACAGAACTAGAATCTGGAGGACCCATTGTTTGTGTATCAGGACAAGGCACTGAAGGGATTTTCTTATCTCCAGGTAYGATGAGGAGATGGCACAGAGTGATGGGCCTGATCGTGACCTGCGGAGTCGTCCTGGGCAATCCACTGGGGTCAAAGGAAGCCGTGCAAGAGATTCTGGAAAGCCTGTACTGACCACCTGGAAGTGATAACAGAAAAAAAAAGAGCTGCACTCTTGGTATAAAGACATCRAGAATAACTTGCTGGTTTAGAGCAGATCGCCATGTTTTGCTACACTGCATGTAGGAAATACTAAAGAACACAATACAGCCTTTGAAAAGTGAAACAAACACTCAAAACCCAGGARCTGTACTAGACTTGCACTGACCTGATTGTTACTGAAACAGCACATATAGACTGTGTATGTATATACAATTATGTTTATATAATTAGTATAAACTCATACTCTCTCAGTAATGATTTAAGAACTTTCTTTATAAAGATGACAACTCAAAATACGCATTCTGAAAGTAACTCCTTGCTGTTCTGGATAATATTTATTTCCTCTGGTAGCCTATCCCTTCCTGCCTATAATAAATGAGCTGTGGATTCTGTAAAACGGTGATAGTGGTAAGTATTAATATTTTCACAATGGTGGTTCAGATTCTTGTAGTAAAAGAAGAGCAAATAGAAAAAACTAGCAGTACATGTACTTGAGGCTATTGTCAGTTAATGCAGCTAATGATTTGTAACCAGTATTAACAGATTGAAAAGGAAGTCTTTATATGCTGGGGGTTAAAGGTTTTTATTTCCTTTAAGTGTTCTGAGCTGCTARCTTTTAAAGGTAGGAAGTTTGATGGTCTGAGGTACTGTTTCAATGGTRTATTGRTGGAYTATTTCACTAGCCARTAATTTTTATTTTGAGATAGTGCATGTCTGTGGAAAACAGACAGAACAACCASATACTGTGATAAATCTCATTGCTTGAAGTTGATGATAAATCTTTATTTGCACCAGAATCTCTCTGTGTATTTATGTATGTATATAAGTCAAATCTCTGTATATTTTTGTATATTTTAGGTGCACTTTAACAAAAATATTGTTGCACATGGCAAGCAGTTTCTAGTAGCTACAGTAACAACAGTTGTGATGATTAGGTACCAAAACATATAGAGCAAAAGATAAAAATGGGTTTTTCAGTCTTCCAACAGCATAGCATRTAAATGAACTAGTTGGGTCTGTGATTGGCTGTTGCTTCCACTTGACTTTCCACGAGMTATCAGGTGGTTATTTATAAATGGTAGTGTGCACTTTTTGGTTTTTATTTTCCTTGTCTCTTCCACCTTCCTTTTTTTTCAGTAAAGTTAAACTCTCCCAAAAGTTTTTAGTTTCTTGAACACCTAAACCAGACCACCTGCAACTGCACCATTTTGCCTGGTTTGGAAAATCCTCCTAGAAGAGGGCAGGAAACTGTGGTCTTTGGGACAGTTGAACACAGTCTGGCAASAGCAGCTTGTGTTGGGGAGGGCAGGTGTGGGCTGGGCTGATGAATATTGTTACACAGAATCTGGGTTTTATCCTTGCAATAAAGAATGAAATGTGTAGATTGAGTCACTCGAAGCATAGTCTTCATTAATCTCGTATATTTCATTAAAATAAAATCAAACCGATTCTTCATCAGACCTGAATCTTCTCAGTGCCTCTACAAAAGCATATTCTAATTGACTCTTGAAATGAATAAGGCAAAGTCAAGATGATAACTGCAGGATAGTAAAGCTTACCTAAATTCCAGGTCTCTTATTTTGGGGTTGGGGTGTTTTTGTTTGTGTTTTTTGGTGTTGGGTTTGGTGGTAGTAGGTTTTTTGTTTCTTTCAGTTCCTAACTGTGGGTCTTACTTGTATATTTGAGCCTTGACAGGTCAGCTGCTCTTAAGTAGATGTGTTAATCATTAGTAGTGCTGTTTTAATTATGTGATATTTAGTAGGTATATGGTTCTGGTTTTACTCTCTGTTAGGGATAAAGTGGGAAGTAGTAACAGCCTTAGGGAGTGTTGGCCTGTAGTAAATAGTATTTTGTAGTATGATTATATTTTTAACAGACAGGTAACKTAACAAGGATACTCTGATAGAAGGAAAATGAAGCTTTCTCTCCCTGCTTGTGATTAATTTCTGTAGTGGCTCAAACAGGAAATGTGTTGTTGTGGTATTCTTCTATTGCAAGAGTAGCACTCCTTTTTGGGAGGGCTTAACGTGACAGCAAAACCAGGTCTGGGTTATTAGGATTTATTGCTGTGGAAGGCTTTGGAGACTGAGTCCAGGGGATGCATTTAACTGTAGTTTCACAATGACCCAGTACTGATAATAGCATCTAAATAATCCTGTTTTTCCAAACTAGTCTGTTGGTGGTGGCAGTGGTTACTACAGGTAGGCAGGGAGGTACAATACAAAATATTGATGCCACTAACTGTAATATTATAGGTATTGAATATTCTTGTTTAATTGTTTAGGGGGTTTCTCTTGGCTTGGAAATGGTCAGCTCATTTGTGTCCTCATTATTCAGGGCTTCAAGTCTTACTGTTGCTATCAAAGAATAAAAATTTCTGTCCCAGTGTAGAGCAGATACATTAAGTAAAATACAGTATTTGTGAAGCAGTATTTTATATGGAAAATTATTTTGTAGCAGACCTATCAAATCTAAACATGCAAATCCTTCTCTCTGACCCACTGTAGTAGTGAGAAAGTATATTTCAAACCCTTGAGGATGAAACATCTCTGTGAAATAYCTAGTAACCTATCATTACCACCTCAAAATGAAAACATGTAAGTATTAGTAACTGGGGGRAAAAAAGGGAAGAAAACCTGATATAAATCTTTGACTGTATAGTACATAATCTTAGAATTGGAATTAAGATTTCAAATGTTGATACCACATTTTACAGTTGTATCTCCAACCAATGTATTATTAGTAATTTATCTTGCTGTCCCAAACATGAATTTAATCATGCAGTGTTCTCTTTAAAGAACAAGAATTCTAAGACACTGCAAATGCAGTGACCCTCTCTTCCTGATCTCATTCCATGTTCTTTTTAAAAACAATAGGCTAGTGATTATATACATCAGACTGCTTTCTCCTCATTTCCTTTTTTGACAGGCTTTTTGCAGAGGTTGAAGTTTGGAAGTCCTAATTATACTTTCACTTCTAATAGATGAAAAACCTATGTATGTAAAGGGAGTTTTAAGGAACAAAACTTAAGTAGTAAGAAGTAACATGGAATTCTAATATACTAAGATTGGCTTTCTGATTATCAGTACTAAACTGTCCTGCTTTCAACTAGGATGGAATTAATTTCTTCTCAGTAGCCATTGCAGTGCTGTGTTTTGAATTTGGAATGAAAATGSTGTCGATAACACACTGATGTTTTGAGTTTTTGCTAAGTTATGTTTATCCTAAGTCCAGAACTATTTGTTTATCTTGTCTCATGCTCTGACAGTGAAGAGGTGCACAAAAGAAATGGAGAAGGAGCATAGCTGGGACAGGYGACCTGAACTGGCCAGGATAATCCCACACCATGGAATATAAACTGGGGGACTTAATCAGCAGAGCCAGTCTGCATTTGGGGGCGAGGTCTGCAGGTGATGAGCAATTGTATTGTGCATCACTAGTGATTTTCCCATTACTACTACTACTGCTACTACTATTATTATTACTATTATATTTTATGTCCAATTATTAAAGTATTCCTATCTCAACATACAAGTTCTACTTCAGTTCTCCTCCCCATTCCACGAGGGGGTGGGGGGAAAAGAGGGAGTTGAGCAAGTGGCTGGAGGGTGCTTCATCTCCAGTTGGGCTTAAAATCACAACACAAAACCCCMAAAAAAATGGTAAGCAGCAAGTTATTCTCCCTTTTCTATGCAGAACTTGAGGCCTTGTGTACATCAGTGAAATGTTCTTGAGAAACTCAAAATTAGGAAGCTCTGTTKCTACATAATGTCTTTTTTTAAGACTTGGTGAAAAATAGTCATTCTCTGAAGAAATTTAAGTAAGGAAAGAGTCAGTGTTAGCTGGAAGGAGTATGCATAAAGCAGCTTGTGAGCCAACTTGGAGGGTGCCAAGGAAACAAAAGCAGTCATAGCTAATAGTTCTGTGGGAGGAGGAAGAGGGTGATAGGCAGATATCACATTGTGAGATGCTAGTTTGTACCTGATCTTGAAAGGTAAAGGTGAAAATTTACTTAGGAGGAAGAGAAACTGGAAAGGAAAACTTTAATTGCTTACTCAGAGATAAAATCTTCAGCTTTCCACTCCTGCGTCTTTAACTAACTCTCTTGCTGTAACAGGACATAACTAATGGTAGCAAGTGGTGYCCAGGCTGGTAAGAGCCTGGGGCATGCTCTGCTATCAGCTGGGACTGAGGTGATTTGGGACATGTATACTCCACTTGARGCACCTCTCTGTTGCAGGAGTTAAGGGGGACTACAGGAGTGATGCTGGCATGTATAATAAAATATGATAAACCTCATATAGATGCTCTCATTCACAGGTAAGGCAGCTCTTTTTGCTGGAGTCTAGTTCTCCAAAAGGTTAAAGACTTTTACCTCTGACTGAGAGGACTTATCTGAGTGACTGCAAGCAGACAAGCTCTTAGTTCTGAGTAACTAACTGTGGCCTTGGGCCAACCATCCTCCAAATGTATCTAATGAAGAAACTGTTTTGGCTTTCAGGGGGGCAAAATAAATCGGAAATTACAGTTCTCAAAAGTTCTGASTTTGGCTAGTATAATAACTTGCTAGGCAGAGCAGATATAAATGTGTGTCTCAGTCCTAAAATACTGTTCTTCATATGCTCCAGTGATCACTGGCATAAGGACTGTATTGTATGAAGAATTAAATAGACAAGCTCTAAACAGCTACAGGAATTGTTATAATAGCATCTGTGTAGAAGGAGTTTATTGTTAAAGTTGAATAGTGGGGCTTGCTTCCTGGGCACTAACCTTTCTCCCTATTAATTCTTTGACATGGAAGGAATTAATAAGATTCTCACAGAATAGCTTCTGTACATGGCTTGAGGAAMTTAATGAGTATAAAAGAAACAGTATTATTCCTAAAGCTACTTCATTACTGCTGGCTTTACAATAGGACTTCTGCCTAAAATGTCTCTGTCTCCTGATTCACTTCCTCCTATAAACTTAGCAAAACAATAGACATTTCACAGAAGATATATAGCTCTGCTTTTCATCAGGAGAACATGTCAGGAAGAGTTCATTTGGCTGTAGCAAAGGAAGGGCTTTACTCTGTCACTATAAACTGGTGCTGTTTCTCAAGTAGCTGCTGTTCAGTTGACTTAGATGGAAATTACAGAAGGGAACCAATATTCCATACCTGCTTTATGACAAGAATTTACTCCTGCTTTGGGGTCAATGGGAAGGACTCTGCTCCCTGTGGTACAGAGGCATCCAAATGGAACACTGGTGTCTCTAGCTTAGTCTATGGCAACAGTCTAGAGCTGCTGACCTGCCAGGCTTTTTAACAAAAAAACACAAACAAACCAAAACTAAACAGAAACTTTATTCCTGTCTTCTCTGCAGAAAACAAAWGTGTATAGCTGGGAAAAGCTGACTTCAGCCACAATTTTGTTTAAAATTTGATTATTAAGAGGAAATAGGAACATAAATGAGTATCTTGGAAAAATTGGTTGTTTTTACTGAATAAAAGGAAGTTGTGTGTGCTAGACCATATGTTTTTCCACCTTTTCTAAGTTGCCAGCAAAACCTTGGCAAGCTCTGCATACTTGAACTTTCCCAATTATCATGATGACATAGATACCTTTTACTATTGGCAGSAAGTCTTCTAGGCCTTAATTATTCTCCAATTTTGTACCCATTAACAGCAAGTAATTCACATCTGAGGTAGTCATAGACAATTGTTGTAAAATAGAAAAGTTTGGTCAGTATGAAACAGTAATTAAAAACAGTCATCTGGAAAATGAGGAGAGAAAAAAAATTATTTCAGACA